TTCCCTACATAACCCAAGACCTTCAAACCAAAACCAATACTTTCAACCATCAAGGGCTCGAGTTTGTTCAATACCTACATACACCAAATTACCTATTTCTGTGTCAAGTTAGCAAATAGCATAATAAAACTGAGCCAAGGAACATTGTAGTGGTAAGAAATCAGAAACTGCATCTCCATATGCCGGATTTAAATCCTAATAATTTGCTGTGAAAACAAGATATCCACTTTGAGATTTCAAGTTAGTTGATTGACAGTACCAAACAGCTCAGGATGTATTGAACATATCTAATTTGGTCTTTAACTTCCTGATTTTAAAATCAATTTAATCACAAGGAAAAGAAGTTGAATGATCCAGAATCGAAAAAAGGAACTGATTTGAGAACCGAATTGATAGGACTCGATTCCTATCACTAGTAAGTCCACAAGGAATGCTCAAGGAGAACACCAGGTGTCACTGACCATTTTATTCAAACTAGGAACACGTGAAGAAGATGATAGTATAATGCGAAACAAGTCCTAAATGAATTAATAGTTGCACTAGTATAATGTTATGTTAAAGAATATCCTTTTCTAGTGACCAAACCGAATACAACAATATAATGACTTGGAAACAAAAGTTAAGCAACTTTTATCTTGTGAAAACACATTTATTCAAAAAAATCAACATAAATGCTTGTAAATTTATCATAAAATCAGAGAAAGATCCTGCCACTAACGATTAGTTTTTCTTCCAAGAAAATCAACATACTTCCGGCCTTCTTGATGCGTTTCTTCTCAAACAAGGTAATTATTATTGGATCCAAATAAAAATTAATAATACTAAAAACCACAGAAAAAAAAAAAAACAAAAGATTACTCAAAAGGGTTCTTCCAAAACGGCTAATATGTTCATGAATCAATCCACATACAAAAGTGGTACTTGAGAGTTTAGAAAAAAAGGATAAACATAATTATATATACTAATTCATAATTCTAATTATCAGTTTCATAAACTCATTATTTTCAAGAAAAAAACACTTCACCTTCTGAACATAAAGACCATTAAAAGCAACACATCAAACCAGAAATAAAACAAAACTGTTATAAACAATAAATCACAAAGATTAAACGGGATACCTGGATTTTTATTCTCCTGCAAATAGAAGCAGAAAAATGTTGCTGCTTCCCAACGCCAAACAATAACATGCAATGTGCTATAAAAGCAAATATATTTATCAGTGTATATATAAATAATCCGTTTGATTTTTTCTGCTTAAGTAATTGAACCTTTTGAGGGTAGAGAAAGAAAGATGAGAGAGAGAGAGATCATCAACACTCCCAAAAGGGAAACTGAATCAAAGAATCGAGTAAAATTTGGTAATCAAATCAAATCATAATTAATATACCTTCATGAGGAAAGAATTTCCTCTTTGACGACTTTAGGATAGTCATGGCATTAGAGAATCGGAAAGCAGCCCAGAATAGGAAACAAGAAATTCTTTCCATATTTATCACCGAGCTTAAGCGTTGGCCCACTTTCAAAGCAGAAAACTAAAACGAAATCGCAAATAATTAAAAAAAAATAGATTAGTGGATTTTTTTGTGGGTTTTAGAGAGAGAAAACGAGCGAGAGAGAGAACGAGCGAGAGAGAGAAGGAGAGAGAGAGAGAGAGAGAGTCCCGGGGTCGGCGGGCCGGCGCGTCGCCTGTCCGTTGGCCTCCGATCTTCGTCCAGAGCTCGGTAGGAAAAAAAAAAAGAAAAAAAAAAAACCAAAAAGGGTTTTTGAAATATCGATTTTGGCAGCCACTTGGAGAACCCAATTGAGGGGGTTTCTTTTTACGTTAGATTTCTACAGTGAAAGTGGCGTACTTCTTGTACCCTCTTTGGTTTCTTGAAGAATGAAGAGGAAGGAGTGGTACCATAAAAAGTACCGCTTCCAAACAAAAACCCAACAAAAAAAAAAAAAAAAAAAAAAAAAAAAAAAAAAAAAACATCACAATTAATATATTTGTCAAAATAATAATAATATAATATATTAACCCAATCGAGATGATAAAATAGCAATTTTATATCAAAAAGTATATACAATATACATGTACAAATTACAAGGGAAATTATATATAATTCAAGAAAGTTGTGTATCATAGCATTCAGCCAAAAAAAAAAAAAAAAGGCAAAACAACAAAAAAGCATAAAACAAAACAAAACAGAACAAAATGTGTATCATTAGCTAGTAATTACAGTCCTCTATGTCAACCATTTATAATATTCATTTAAATATTTTTTATAATTTCTAAAGATATTTCTTTTTTCAACAAATTGAAACTTTCAGCTCAAAAAAATTCCATAAATTAGGATATCATGTTGTATATATATATTAGTACACACTATTTCGCATCTCAACTCTAAATTTCATTTCATGCACTTTATTTTTTAACACATGGTAACTAATATCAAGAACATGTATTTGATCTAATTATTAGAGAGAGGAGGGGGAACAACTAAACACATGATATGTTCAAACACAATCCTACATAATAATAATAATAATAATAATAATAATAATTGCTCTAAAACAAAAAGGAAATGAAAAATAAAAATACTACCTATGAGAGTGAGGGGGATAATTCTAAAAATTCATGTCCTTATACAGCTAAACACATAGATATGTACAAACACAATTCTACTAAATACATACATTTGTTATATATATACATCTATAAATATATAGATATATATGTTTAAACACAAGAACAGGAGAAAAAAATAATAAAAACAAAGAACTTTTTTCCTATCGATCTATGTGCAAGTTTCATGGGGAAGCAAAAGATGGATATTAAGCATACGGAAACATTAATTTGTTTCAAAAGCTGCAAAAATATCGATGTGTCAATAATCTGGCCTGCTATGTGTTTGCCTTGAAAGGAGATAGACCGCAAATATAGATCATTGTTTCTTTCTGATCTCCTGGCCTTATGAAGCAGCGGAAACGACACCAAAAATTAAAACCAAACGGCATAGCGACATCTGGACTGGAGATATGGTATATATCATATATTATTATCAAACTCAGCTGGGAAAGAAATTTTTTTTTTTAATTTTTAAAAAAGGTTACTTCGATTAATGAAAGAAAAAACCAAGCAAACAAAACAAGGAACTGCCTTTAGGAAAAAAGCCGTAGAGAGAGAGGGGGAAGAAAAGGGGTCAAAGAAATTGGGGCGTTAGAGAGAGAAAGAGAGGAGAGAGAAAGAGAGGAGAGAGAGAGAGAGAGGAGGAGGGGGCAAACACAAAAGGAAGCACACCAAACCGGCGAACCAGGAGCTGACAGAAAGAGAAGTGAGCACGCACCACACGAGTGTACGCCTTTATACAATTGTCAGTGTGTGCTCACTCTCTTCTGTCAGCATCAAGAATGGCTTCCCTTCAAATTTGCTCCCAAAAAAAAAAAAAACCAAAAAATACCCATTTCGATTCTTGAATCTGCAGATCTGAAACTCTCAACCCAAACCCAGATAACCATTTTTATTATTATTATTAAATTTTTTTTGCCAAAACTCGTGTTTTTCTGATCTCTACATTGCCGGCCCTCATGCTCATCAAGATTTAGGGTTTTCACTTTCTCTCGCTAACCGGCCATCTCCTGAAAAAAAAAAACCCCCAGCTTATTTTCTTCATCTCTCTCTCTCCTCTTTTCTTTTCTCTCGCTTTTCTTGCAAACACCTGAGATGGATATATATATATATATATATACATATATATATAAGAGAATTAGGGAATTCATGATCGTACAGTACCTGCGGAAAGAGACAGTGAAGAAAAAAGGAAAGAGCAAACAAACAAAAGAGAGGAGGGGGAAGGCAACGACTTGATGTGCTCATCATTCATTAAAGGCTACTACTTCTTTTGTTTATTTATTATTTAATTATCGTTTTCTTTTGTTTATATTATTAATTTTCTTTCGTTTTGTTTTGTTTTTTTTTTTCTGCAACTCAATGAGGTTAAAACTTTAAACACCATGGCCGATATGCCATTGGAATTTGGAAGACTTCCACTCCTAAATCTTTTAAAATCATATAATAACTGCCTTGTTTTCTTTTCTTTCTTTTTTATTATTATTATTTTTTCTGTTTTTCTGTATTCATGGCACGGTCCAATACTTTTTATCCTTGAGATTAATAATGTTGTTGTCAAATATGAAAATTATAGTTGAGTGATTTAGCTAGTCTCGTGTCTTGTCATATGTCCATTATCATGAGGAGAAAAGATATTTTGTTTCTATTATCATAGAGAAGCAGAATGATAGGCCCAGTAGAAAGATTTGTAGTATTTGCAATTAACCGGATATATGGTACTTTTTTTTTTTTTTTTTTTTTCATTTTTTCGTTTTTTCATTTTTTCTTTTCATTTTCTTACTTGGAGACAAATACAATTGATAGTGTATCATGAACTTTTTTTTTTCTCCCATTGTCAAAAAAAAAAAAAAAAAAAGAACCCCTCCTTTTTCCTTGGCTTTGTGTTTTCTACTTTTAACAAGTTCTTCGCTTTTATGAATTAATTCATTAGAAAGTGACCGGTCAAAATCCACTCTAGGGCAAATTATAAATGTACTTCTTTGAAGGAGAAATTATAAAATATAGTTACAAGAATAGAATATAGCATTATATTATATGGTTATTTCTTATTGAAATGTTGATGTGAATATACTATTATGACATCATCGTGCTTCAATTTTGACAGCAACAATGTATGAGACTTGTTTTATCGTAATAGTTATGGTGCTTTGATACAACTTTTAATTTTTGACGCCAAGTTTTTTCAAAAATTACATCAAAGCACATATTATTATCATGACAATTCAAATGCATATCAAAACACCAACCAAAACACCACGTTATAGGGTGCATTTGTTTATGTTTTGCAGTCATATTTAGCATATGTGTAAATATCAAGTATAGCAACATTAAAAATTAAAAAAAGGATGACACACTCCTATTTATTCTCTAAACACACTTTCTAAATATATACTCACAAAAAATTTTCAATGGTTATCCACTCATATTATTTCAAAATTCCCCCTTGCTATATCTATAAGCTATTAATTCATAACAACTTCGATATTCTTTTGACACCAACCATTTTATTTTAATTTATACTAAAAAATTCTAATTTCTCCATCTCTTTATTAACTCGAGCAATATGCGCAAAACGACTTAAAATTTATCTTCGGGGTGTTACAAGCATTTGGTTTCTTCATTTGGTAATTTGTGCTTGGATTTGAGAGATATTTGCTTACGCTAAATCTGTCTATTTTGATAAATAGGTCTCTTGGGGGGTTTTCCAAAAGTAACAGAGGCGTTCCTTAATCATAGTATCGTAGCTTATAAATGACCGCTTTCTTTGCTTCGAAAAATTGAATGAGCTATGAGAAACTTTCTTCGGATAGGTAAATTAATAAAAAAAGAAGTTAGTGTTGCTTGAAAAAGTTTGTCTTCCTATAGGAGGAAGGGGTCTTGGTATTCATTATCTGGAAGTACTAAATGCAGCTTTTCTAAGAAATTTCCTTGGAAAATAATAATCGACAATTCTATGGTTTTGACTTTGTGGGGCAAATATATTAAAGATTTTCGACATCCTAGGGCTGTTCATAGATTAGAATCCGCGGATTGACCTCTGCAATCCGATATAAAACTATCGGACTGAAAAATTCAATCCGTGTACACTACAAGAAACAGGGTTGTTAGCGACCACGAAAAGTCGTTGCAAAAAACCCAAAGTTGTTGCAAATATTATTTTTGCGACGACAAGTCGTCACAAATATTATGTCGCAATTAATTTGTCGCAAAAAGTTTTTTTGGGATGACAAGTCATCGTCGTAATTACATTTGCGAAGACAAATCGTCACAAATGAGTCGCTACAATTATTTCGTCGGTTGCATCGTCAAGATGACATGTCATTAATTATTTGTGACAACAATTTACAAATTATGTCATCGCAAATAATGTTGAATTAGCTTACGTGGCATCAATTTTTTGTGACAACATTTGTCGTCGTAAATAGTATTTTAATTTTTTATTTATTTGGCATCAATATGGTGTAATTTGTATCAAAACCCCATCGATGTATGTGCACTTTTACTGTTTCTGGTAACAACATTTCATGATTTCTACACTTGATACATGGACAACAATACTCTCGGTTGAATTTGCATAATTCTTTTCAACCTCAATAAAAGCACACAAACCATCACAGTATTCATTAGACAATTGGTTCCTTAAATATATCCAACTCTTTTCTATAGGCATCTCCACTACAAAGAATTTATGAAGTTTTATCAAATTTTATAAAAATTAACACAAATTATTTTATAATAAGTCTTTAACATTCTATTAACTATTTTATAATATTTATTTTAATTTTTATTATTATTAATATAATACTAATTAAAATTTCCATCTAAATTCTTTAATCATCATATATATAATTCATTATTTTTAACTTCTTAACATTTCCATAGGTCACCTATTTTTTAATCATCATCACATAATCATCATTAGATAAATTTCATACAAATTTCAGTCTAATTTCACAAATTTCAATCTAATTTCACAAATTTCAA